CTCCCACGTAGTGGCTTCCTTCACCACCACCCCTCTGGGTGCCGTATCCTCGTCCACCACGGCCACGACCTCCTCTTACTCGGTCACGCCCTCTTACTTGACGCCCTCCCCCGCGGGCTACAACGGCCGCGAAACTACCCTTCTGAGCTACCGGTCTGCTAAGTTCATCGAGACCATAATCTACCTGATCCCAGGAAATAGTATCGGCGCCTTCTTCTTCAAAGGTTAGAAGGAGATTATCCTTCCCAGATATAGACCTTGAGATAGTGCGGTTTTGCCACTTTTTACCCGCTTGCGGATCTTTCCAATAATGACAATAGTTTGCTTCGGCGAGGAAGCCAGCATGATCTATCGCGATCTTGCCGAACTTCTCGTATGTCATTCCTTCTTCCTTGACACGGGGATAAAGTTGCGTTCTCAAGGGATCAGGAAGTGCTCGTGCAAAACTGTTCAAAATCTGGGTAGGTGTCAGTCCATGGTCAGGGCATTGTAACAATTCATCCATGGTTGCTTTCAAGGCAGAGGTGCTCTTCCATTTTTTGTCAGGGAGGTTGAGGATTAGCATCTTTGTACGTCGTGCTAAGTTTTTATCCTCAAACCTTTCTCTAACTGCTTTAAGGAAATCGTCAATTCGAGTTTATTGTGAGAATTCTACCATTGAGTTGTATCCCGCCTCTTTCTGCAGCGAGATTGCGAAACTCATGGCATCACCTCCTTTGCACGAACTCGCCATCAGCACCCTGTCCCAATACGGGATTCGTTGCCCATATACGTATGACTCTATTGCTGCTGCTCAATGCAAAACACTTTCTTCTTTCTTCCCATTATAGGTCCATGGCAGTTTAAGTTTAATCTTACTAGCCTGCCCTACTTCCTGTGGAAGTTTTCCTTCGGATCCCCAATTCTTTTCCCCTTCTTGTCATCATCGCCATCATCATCACCATCTCCTCCTCCGCCTCCAGCTCCCTTGACAATCTTTTCTATAACCTCGGGAGTGAAAGTCTTGGTGACATGTTCATCCAAGACCCTGATGTATGTCTGGACGTGTTGGTCAACATCCTTTGCTGACTTTTTTAGGAAATTATTCCAGACAGATTCAAACTCAACCCGATGTGTTTCTACTCTTTGGAATGTCTGACGCATCAAGGCCATGTCCTGCCTTGTGTTGAGGACGGCCTCTCTGAGGAGAGCAAGTTGTTCTTCTGTTGCAGAGGGTTTATCCTTTTGGTCTTTTAAAGCCTTCTGCAATTTTTCCCCTTCTGCTTGCAGTTTTTTTTTTTCTTCCACTTCTTGCCTTCGGGCTGCTAGCAACTTATTATTCAATTCAACCCTCTTCTTCTCTAGCATCAGATTTCGTTCGACTGTGTCTGTTACAGTGGCTAGCTTTGCGATGAACACATCCCGTTCCTCTTCAGACTCACGTAACGGTTCGCTGGAGTAGTAGTACTGACCAGCCCAATCCAGTGGTTCAATGGGAAGCCGGTTTGTTGTACCACTCATGTATGTCAAGATGACGATGTCTTTGCAATATCTCCTCTTCTTCCAGTTCTTCTTCTTCGTCTTCTTCTTGAATGCTTTTCAATTTTTCTTCTAACTCTTTATCCGTCTTTTCTTTCAACTTTCTCTTTGCCTCTTCTTCTTTCTGTTTCCTTTTAGCCTCTTTCTCTTTCTTTTTCTCTGCCAACCTGCAATCAATTTCTGCCTGTTCGGCAGGTGTGGGCCCAGGCTTTACTGTCCCAGATCGCATTAACATCCGGGACGCACACACGCGTCCGAATCCCAGCGGGAACATTAATCGGAACAGTGGACCCAATAAAACAGAGAGGGCCAACAAGCCCTGGATGGGATAGTCGTCCATGGTGATGATCGGCACAGGGGGTCCTCCGCTGGTTCACCATAGCACTATCCCACTCAGACTTGCTTGCTAACGTAGTCTTGACTTGTGGCGAATGGAGTACTGC